CCCCTTTTCTGATGAAGGGTCTAGGCCCGAAACGTCAGCCTCTCTGCGCCTATGATGCTGCTTGGCCTGCTGTGTTCACCCAGCCCTGCACCTTGTTGTCACGGATTCTCCAGCTTCTGCAGTTCCTACTATCTCTAGCAGAATTTATTGCTGTTTTTAATGAAGGTATAAGTGTAAATGATGAAAACCTTCCCACCTTGTCAGCTTAACTGAAGAACCACTTCCCGTAGCACCCTTGATAACCATGGTGAGTTGCTGGGAAATACAGGATTCAGGATTGAAGCAGCTTAATTTTATTCTCTTAACAACCTCAACAATTACTTATTCAATGGATTCAAGGATGTTTACTTGTAACTTTGAATGGTGTTTCTCAGGGAAAGCTTGAAGATTGTGCATTAACATTGAGATCCTGATCTGATGTTGATTTCCTGGACATTGCCACTTTGCTAATTCCAGACTTTCAGTGGTATGGGAAAACTCTATCCTGATCTTAAATGCCACTCAATCTCCCTTCCTTTTCATGAGAGGTTTTCCAAATGCCCAGGTAGGCTATGGTATTAATTTCAAATTGCTAAAATATCATGAAAGAAGCTTCAATTAAATATTAGAATGTTGAACTGGCCTCTTCACAATTGGTTACTTAGAAACCACAGAAAACACCAACATTAAAACACTCCTGGCAACTCAACAGGGGATCATGTGCACGTGACTATATAACTCCTCCCCACTCCAAACACCTCCAGGTCATAGCAGCTAGGTTAATTACTTTCCGATGTAGCCAAATAACAAATCCCTTCCGGAGATTGGAGGGCAAATTGTCCAGAGCACTGGCAAAGCATTCATCAGGGAATGTGTGCTTGAGTTCAGAACTTTGTAGAAAGGAGATTCCAGTGAACAGGAATGTGATATTGCCATGTTCTGTATGGATCAAGGAATGGGAAGCACAGAATACTTCACGACAGATTCCTTGTGACAAACCGCTGACTATTGGATGACAGTCTTTGGACTGCCATTATCTTTATTATGCATATCCAAGACAGGCCAGGGCCCTACATAGCTAATCTCTACTACTCGGCCTCAGTCCAAGCCCATTATGCACTTGTGGAGAGTCATAACCAACGCTGCCCATTATGAGAAGAATCCTCTCTCTGGACTAAATGGCAGAATAATCACATGGAGATAAACAAATATCTCTTGTCTGCAGGGATTTGCATTTGCCAAATAAATGAACTCATACCTATTGTCAAGGATGCAGGTGAATCTCCAAAGCTGTTCATATTGTATGTGGACTGTAACAATTCAAGAAGGTAGCTCAGCACCACCTTCTCAGTGGTAATTAGGAATGGACAATAAATGCTGGCCCAGCCAGCAATACCCCCATCCCACAGGTGAATTAAACAAAACAGTGCAATGTGCTGGCTTCCTAATTCTTACAAACAGCGACTGAAAGAACTTGTGGGATGATTTTCATATCTGTTTCCACATGGCTGACTTTATTCAAATGTTAGAACTACTCCTGAACAACATCTATTGTGTAATAACACCCAAACACATTCATGGCCTTTATCTTGAAATAAAGCTCATTAATTATTACTGTATGAAGGCTCGATGTCTTTTACTAGGTTATTTCAATGTTAACCCATTTAAAAAAATGTTCAATGTTAGTACAACTGACATTCAATGATATAGGTTCAATGGAGATGACTTTAACTTTCATGTTGACCAACTAGCAGAATTTATTGCCTTTTTTAATGAAGATATAAGTTTGGACATCTGTACTCCTATTTCAGGGCTAAATACTTACATGGGTTTAATATTTTCTTGATTATTCCTATAATTCTTGGTAAGAGATTAGGCTAGAACAGTTCTGAACCAAACTGAATTCAAATTTTTTAACCTCAAGCCAACAATCTGCTGATGTTATTCCAGAATCCTCATGCTATAACAAGTTACAAACTGTTATCTTTTGGCAATTGTGTTCTAATCAGGTAAAAATTAATTCCCAAGAGATGTTTTGGAAAAGAAGACTTCTTAGTCTTTTTATAAACACCGACAATGGAAACGCTGTTAAATTTGTGTACTATGTTTGCAAATGTTTCATGTGGTATGCTGTGGTGTGGTTTTCTTAAAGTAGCTCATGGAACAGGAAGCAGTGTCTGTACTTAAGGTGGTATTGCTTTTCACTGAGAACAAGTGTTGTGACAAATTCGTCCTTTTGGTAACAACAAAATTAATATTTGTCATTTTAATCATTATGACAATGTATAAAGAAATTACAGTATAATTACACTGGCAGAAAATTTAATAATTTCCTTGGGTATTTGTGAGTATAAATTTCTAAAAAGACAGTACACCTTTAATGGCATACATTCTGTACCTCCATTGTGATGTGGAGTTTAAACAAAGTGGTAAATTTATGCAGACTGTTACTGTGCGTCAGTTATTACGCTGTGAAAATAAAAAAAATAAATTTGCACACAAAAGTGGGCGTGAAAGAGAAAGACAGAGGGCCAGGGAGAGGATATTTACCATTACAAACCATGGCGAGCAGTGAGTGAAAATGCAGGATTATTTGTTTTGATTCCCTTTCTCTGATTTCCTTTTTCTTGTATTAACTGACTATTCTCTGTTTAATCTTCCTAATTCAATCAGATTTCAACAAACTTTAGGAGTGGTATTTGGAGGCGGTCAATCTGCGTTGAATCGGGCTCTTTTGTTTGTCTGCTGTTTGTTTTTATGCATTGAACTTAGCAACTCATAGAAACAAGTAAGGAGGCAAAGATGTAAGATACTATACAGTTAAGACAGGAAGAAAAGCATTAAATCGAAACTGAAAAATGACATGTATATCATCATGGACTTTAGCACAGATTAAAAATTAGATCTTCCAGTCAATTAAAAATAACACGTACACAAATGGCGAGTAATGCTAGATTAACAGTTAATTTTGAGAACTCTGATTCATAGCTTTTGGATAGTGAAGATAATAAGGAAAATAGGGCAAGGGCAGATGTCTGGTGTTAAATCTCAGTTCAAACAGGATCTCATTTAATGGTTGGATTGAGAAATTAAATGACCTCTCCCTGTTCTTTTGGTCCTGTAGGTTTCCAAGATTATTATTCTTTTCATTTGTGAAAGGATTATATAACCATTACTTTTATAAAGTCAAAAAATGAAGTTAAAGTTCTCACTTTCTTTTTGATCCCCACCCTTTCACATTGGGATCTGGTTTCATGTTTCGATATGTATTGCTGATGTGATTCTAAATCGAGGCTGAAAAATGTTAGAGGTGCAGTTACGTTCCTGCCATTCTGGGTCCACTGGAAGCATTTCTGGAATTTAGGTGGACTATTGGTGTTTTGAATTTACCTCATTTGTATCAGCAACTGGATTCAGAGAAAAGATAGTTTTGATCCAACAGTTTCACACATAAAATTTCCAAAAACGCAGCGTCACAAATCATAAACTATTACGGGATAAAAAATTTTCTATAGGTGGAGGAACTCAGAAGTCCTATTTGTGACATTATGGCATGGACATAGGGCAACATATCCCCATTTCCAAAATGGGTGGAAAAGGAATGTATCATCAAAAGAAATCACAGCCCTAGGTCACCATTAGAGTTGAGGCAGCTGTTCATATATTTAAATCTGTTTCCTACAAATAATTTAACAGTTTTTATTTCGACTCAGTGGGAGCCGTGATATTAGCAAAATGTATGAGAATGAATTCCTCATTTCGTTAAGTTGTGTGCTCTCACTTGCTGGACCTTTCCTGTTAACAAATACTCCCCTGTAAATACCACTACCATTTCTGCATATGGGCCTTTTCAGAGAGCTATCGAAACTGGGCTGGATCTTTCTATATTTCAGCTAAATTTCTAGCTGATGTCTCATAAAGGGCTTCTCTCTGTGAGGCCTGATGAGTTTTCTCATGTGGGAATCCCAATCCCACCTCATTAATCATTTACCGCTGCCTTATGGTATCCCTCTCATCTGATGTTAGCTGGATTTTCTCAATCATTGTAGTTGGAAGTACTCACCATTGCCACACTGTTCCAGGATATACCAGCATTCCTAGTGCTGGCACCATATGTAAAAGGCCATTGTGTACCTAGTCAAGCATTGGCAGTCTGGAGGTGCCCTACGCAGTTGCAGATATGTGCCCTGGACATGACAGAGAAGGTGAGATTGGTGCCCTGATTTGTGGACAGAAATTTGGTGGATGGGGAGTTGCAGAGGAGGGACATCTTCTTTCCTCAGAGGAGGCCTCAAAACCACAGCCTGCCAGCCTGATCCAACATTGCTACTTGCTTTCGTGAGGGTCTGCACGGTGCAGAGAAAGACCAAACAGTGCTGAAAGAAGGCCAATGACTTCCTGTGCTACATGAGGGTAAGTATCACCAACTTCTGTCTGCTACCTCATTGTCACTATGTCTCTGCTAGTGCACCAAGGGTCATGGTCTGCCACTCTCACAATCACATGTAACATCTTCACTCACCACTCATTTTCAGCCACCCAAAACTCCCCACACTGCTAGCTCTGCATGCTTTCTGTGCTGCCTACTCTCTCACTCAAGACACCTCACTACTTTCCCCCAACTTGTACCAGCATTAATAGCTGGCCCACCCACTTGCACCTCACTCAATCCCTTCCTCTGCCTCCTTTCAGGAGGACACAGCCTATAACAGGGCAAAAGGAGCCATTGGAGGTGAAGGGGTGTTGGATGTTTGTCTCCTCACACCCTAAAGGAGAGAATCTTGACCTGTGTAGGTGAAGTCTGGGATTGTCCTGTGGTGATGCTAAAATCTCCATGTCCTGCCAGCCAAGTAAGAACCATTGCTTATGGTTGTGCTAGTCTCCCTCAAAGCCACTGCGAATTTATTATTATCATGCCACAGATTTTACCATTTGACCAGGACACTTTCTCTTCTTGTCTCTGGCAGGATGTCCATGATAGGTGCAATCAAGGGGACCATCCCTCAAGGCATACTCTCTTCCAACTCTGAGGAAAAGAGTAATGAGGCCTCAGAGGCTTCACTAACAAAGCTGCCCCCTGCAGCCCCCACTGCTCGGTGACACCTCAGTGGTATTTTCTCCAGACTACAGTCAAGAGCACATTCTGGTGAGCACATCATTGCCATGTTTCCACAGTTGGTTGAGGAAGAAATTGCCAACACTACTGGCACGCAGTGGACAATGGACAGAAAATCAGGCATCTTCTCAGCCTGGAACAGGAGAGGTCTTCATTTGTTGGCAATAAGAGACACCATACAAGCAGGTACAAGAGCAGTGGGCAGGCTTGTTGACACTGGGCAACCTGACACTAAGATTACAGGGCTGCAGCGCAGTCATTGGGACCCTGCTACCTCAGGCATGTGATCATCAGAATGCCTCTATTGACACATTGGCAGTTTGGCATGGAGAGGCAGGTCCTGCAGTCTCAGTATCCACTGGATATACTCACAGATCTGCACTCCAACACTCTAGCCATTGGTACTCAGTACCAAAAACAAGGTGCTGGGGGAATGAGGCACTTTGTCCTCAATCCAGGTGCCCCTTCCTCATGAAGAGATAGGTTGGTGCTCAATTCATCAAAGACCGAGTAAAATGGCTGCCCAACATTTAGTATCAAGGCTATCTTGGTCAACAATGCAATTTTGCCTAACGAGCCTGGGCATGAAACCAGCCTGATATTGTTCGGGTGACATGAGTCACATTTACTCAATATGAAAATAGCTTTCTCTGGCCTTGCAATATCAACAATGATCTGCCCTTCTCTCTCTCTGAAGCTGTTGTAGCTCTAATTCATGTCTTCAGCACTTCAAAGTTAGGCTGCTCTAATTCATTAGTCTACCCTCTGCAAGTTCCTCCAGTTTGCAGAGTAACACTGTTGCTATGTTACTGAACTGGCAATGATCTCCACACATGAGTTTAAGTCCCATCATGGCAGCTGAGGAATGTAAATTTGTTTAATAATTACATCTGGAATAAAAAGCTAGTTTCTGTAATGACAGACACATAAATAGGGAATAAAATCTTTATACCCAGTCTGATCTACATTTGATTCCAGGCACACAATAATACTTTAATTTGTTAAAGGAATTTAGGGCAAGAAATAAATGATGGCCTTGTCATTGATGCACCATATCATAAGTAATAAAAACAAAGTCTTGATTATTTCAAAACATTAAACATTTTCTTAAAACTTTGCATAAACCCACTTCTCCTCAATGTAGTGATGTCCTTTGGTGTTATACAAGTGAGACTGTCTGCACTTCCAATACAAGAGTACAGATCACATCCCATTCCATGCCATGTGGCATTGATAGTTGCATGTTCAGCCATTGTGCTCCTGCCTTCCAGAATACTTCAGTCCATTTATAATATCATGCAATGTCTCTCCTTAGAATTCTCCTTCCTGTGCTTTTACTTTCCAACCCAGACCTATCATATGCTCCATGTGCTTGTTCAGGACTGTCACACCTATCTGAACTCTACACATCACTGGTCTTGACCTCGTGTCAACCAAGCCTCTTACCCATGCAGGCCCATTTCCAGTGATCTTACACCAAACTGTGTCTGGCATTGGCGTTCCTGATGCAGTTTCACCCTCCCACCAAGGTTCGGGAAGATCAGATTTAACCTGGTGTAGAGTCTTCTCCCCATTGGCACTCTGCTGGAGCTATCCCTGTAGTTGCATGAGGGGTGGTCCCATAATCAAATAGGGACTGGGACAATTTGATACCTAGTGAAGCTATAGGCTGTTTCTTTAAGCCTGCCTTCAACATTTGGACTGCTTTTTCCACCAGACCATTGGACGATGGATGGTATGGAGCTGTCCTTATATGTCGAATCCCATTTGACTTTTGGAAGTAGTCAAATTCCCTGCTGGTATATGATTGCTCTTTATCTGTGAGCAACACTAATGCGCAGTTTTTCTGTTGTTGTTCCTGTGTTTGATGAATGAACTCTATGCACTTTGAGTGGGTGTCTGCAATAACTAAGAACATTTTTAATGAACCAATGAAAGGACCTGTATAGTCCACATGTAACTGAGTTCGGGGCTTACTTGGCCATTCCCATGAATGTGGGGGAGCTGCTGGCCCTAATTTTTGACACACTGGCCATTGCCTGATCAATGTGTCTATGTTGTCATCTGCTGAAGATACCCCAAATAGCAGTCTCATATATCGGCACAAGCCCTTATGGGTATTCAATTGTAGCATACATCTGGAAACCTTATCTAACCACAATTGCAAGTACACAAGGCTCACATACATCTTTGTGAAGCACGGGCCCCCTGCGTAATTGCAAGTAGACAAGGCTCATGCCCATCTTTGTGAAGTACAGGCCCCGTGAGTATGAGTCCTCTATGCAAGGGCCTGGGTATTTATCTAGTTGTGAGAAACAGTTTACCATTTATTTAAAATCCCCACAAAGATGAACCACCTGTTGGGCATTGACAATCTGTACGAATGGAGCGAAAACTGTGCTGGTTTGAAGATTACTTCACTTTCCAGCCTTCTGATTTCTGCCTCTACTTTTCCCTGTAAGGCAAATGGCACTGTATGGGACTTGCAGTATTGTGGAATTGCTTCCTGGTCAGCATGCAAGGTGGTCTTGGCTCCTTTGATAGTTCCTAGACCTTCTTGAAAAACTTCTACATATTTTATTAGGACTTCACTCGGACAGCTATTTTCTAATCGAGAAACGTTGAGCCAATCTAGGTGAATCTCTCTCAATCAATTTCAATCCATCAGGCTTGGGCCTGAGCCTTTTACTATAATCAGTGGTAACTGAACCAGCTACTTCTCAGAAGAGACCGGAACAAAAGTAGCACCCTTACTCAGTAAAGGTTCCCCGGTATAGGTTCTCAGTCTAGCCAAGGTCTTGCACAAACTTAAGGCTTGGAGTCCATAGCAAATTTTGTTAAAAACTGGTTGTGTGATCACTGAAACAGCTGTGCTGGTATCGACCTCCATTAGAACTGGATGACCATTTAACCAGATGTTTATTTGATTGATTCTAATTTGGATGTTGCTAAGCAATTTAACTGTTCTAGACCAGATGTAGGGTGAACTTTTCAGAGTGTGCAGTCTCCTGGATACCGGCTTATGAGTTCTCTTACTCAGTTTGGCTCTAGTGGGACTCTTTTACTCTCTCGAGTCTACGTGTTGGCAGTGACTACAATGGCTTGCCAACCCGGATCCAGAAGAAAATTTTAACTGTTTGGCAGAGGCTTGGCTTTGTGTTGGGGTTTTGCCAGCCTAGAGTCCTTCTGTTCAAGATATGTCCTGAGTGAGGCTATGGAATTTCCTTCACTTAAGTGGTGCTCCCGAAGCTCAATCAGACTGGCGAGGGTGTCCAGTTCCTCAGAGTACCCTGCAACTCATATATTCTATTTGCCGCATGTTTCAATGATAAAGCCAGTAGTAGTGCTGTTTGAAGTCCAGTTGGGCTTCAGCTGGTAAGCACTTTTGCATGGTTACATCATTAATCGCACATACCAAATGGTCTCTCAGCATCTCATTAAAGATTAAATGAAATTCACATTCCTTTGCCTGTCATCTTAACCTAGTCAAAAATCCCAATACGGATTCTTCTGGTTCTTGAATTGCTGAGTAAAAACGATAACATCTCAGAATTAGAAGAGGCTTGGTTTTGTAATATTTCTTAACTAAATCCATCAACTGAAAGGTTTTAGTATCTGATGCTTCAGGGAAACTTAAGCTCCTAATAACTGAAAAAGTTGCTGATCCACAAGCTGTCAGGAAAATTAGTCATTGCTTTTCATCTGCCCCAATATCATTTGCCTGGGAAAAAAATATTGCATTCTTTCCACGTACTGGGCCTAGTCTTCAACGACATGGTTGAATGAGTCAAACTTCCCAAATAACGGCATGATGCCAGAAATTCTTATCCCATCTCAAAGACGATTGTTGCGAGCCAGTTTCTTCAGGACTGTGTTTTACTCTCGTTGCCATTGAAATAACTCCACTGAGGCTGGTATCTCGTCACCAAGTCACCCTTCATTTACACATGGAAAGTCATTGTCATTGGCCCAGCTCCCTCAGAGCCAGCTCACAGAGTGTCAGAATGTCTGACACTCCTCTTTTTAACTGTAAGCCAGGTATCTCTCAGGTTAAAAGCCTCAATCAGGGAACTCCTATTCATCTGGCTGACCTTGTTACAATCACTGCCGTCCTGCATTTAAATGTCATTATGTAAGTACAGTGTTTAATTGATGTACCATTAACTCTTCAATAATTTTGAAGGATAGCTTCAGATGTACGAATATCATTCATCATTTTACTTAAACAAAAATGAGATAAAAGTCCCCGTGGGTGAAATTACATTAAATTATATTGTTGAATAAAAACTTAATACGTTTGAATGAGTTTCCTTTGCTACTCTAACAAAATAGAAAATTGGTTACGTCCTCATTAGGGGAGTCCTGATTGCTGCAAATTCTCAACACCTAACACATCTTCCCTTTCTTCAAGGTGCAGACCATATCATGCAAGATGTGAGTTACATTGACTTGCATTGTGAGAAGAATAACCGAGATCACCGAACTGCTGAGATCAGCACCAAGCGACTGATAGTCAGGCGTGGACAGCCCTTCGAGATCACAGTGCAATTTAACAGGAATCAATATGATCCAGACAATGACAAATTTAAACTTGTTGCTCAAACAGGTAATCACTTTGCAATGATGTCGGGAAACTTCACAGAGTATCTATTAATGATAATTGAAAAAGGGAATTTAAAAAAAAAACATTGTTCTTTTACTTCTCTAATAACTGATTTTAGTGTGTGTTTGTACCGCCAATCTCTTTGATTGGTTTGCATGACTGAAGGGTCACATGAGTTGATGGTTGAATTGCAATTTTCGTTATGAAATGTTCACATGCTTTTTTTTTTAAGTTTTTGCAATTACCGTTGGCCAGACAGGAAGTAGCAGACAGGATATTGAAAGTGGGCAAAAAGTTGAGATAAAATACAGTAGCTTCCCCTTATTTTCAACATTATGGCCAACTGCTTTTGCAGCATCCTGTCTGAGTAGAATGTTATCAGATTTTGTGGTTTAGTTGCTTGCTTGCAATTACTTTTCTGGCAGTTAAGCATTCTGATTTGAAGGCAGTGAAATTTAAACAAACACTTGCAAGCATGTTAGTGGAGTCGACTCCATTAACTGGACTTGGACATTAGATCATTAGAAATAGGAATAGGAATAGGAATAGGCCATTCAGCCCATTGAACATCTTCCATCATTTATTGATTGATCTGAATTTTGCTTTATCTCCACTTTTCTGCCTGTTTTTCATAATTCTTGACTCCCTCGTCAATCAAAAATCTTAGTTAGTCTTGAATATATATTCTGGCCTAACTTATATTGCTTCTGTAGATAAGAATTTAAAGCTTAATGACTTTCTAAGAGAAGAAATTCCTCCTCATCTCCATCTTACTATTACTATTACTATTTTTAAACTATGCCCCCCCACCTCCAGTTTACATTTCTACATGAGAATAAACATGTATTCAGTACCACCCTATCAAATATCTGAAATTAGGAGTCTAATGGTGATCATGAAACCATTGTCGATTGTTGGAAAAACTCATCTGGTTCACTAATGTCCTTTAGGGAAGGAAACTACCATCCTTACCTGGACTGGCTTATATGTGACTCCAGACCCACAGCAATGTGGTTGACACTTAACTGCCTTCTGGGCAATTAGGGATGGACCATGATGTGCTGGCCTGGTTAGTGATGCCCACATCCCATGAATGAATCAAAAAATCCCCTTCGGATTCTTGTAGCAAGATTTGCTGTGGGTCTGGAGTCACAGAAAATCATTGCAATTTTAGACATCTTAGTTAATAAATGCTTTAAACTCTTTTAGGCAATGCATAAAAGTTCAAACAAACAAATCTATGCCCTGCCTCCGTAAATTCTGAATTTTAAATTAACATTTAAATTTTAAAAACTGGACACAAAATGTTGCAAAAAAAGGCCATCTGAGGGTCACCTGACTTCTTTTGCAGATTGAAACTACTCCCCTGTCAAGGGTGAAAAAAATGAACATTACAGAGCGAGGAGAAAAGCTTATCCGAAAAGGACATTATCATCAAGTTGAAAACTAAGCATTAGAAAAGAAGATTCCAAAAACGTCTTAAGGCCCATCGAGACTACCCCATCCCCCTCATCATATACCCCATTAAGACCATGCAATCATACATGGAATCATTGCGGCCATTAATTCCACATATTAGAGACCTCAGTAGGGGATAAAAGACTACTGATGCCTGGTGGATTTCTTCAGCCATATAATTAGAAAGCATGGTATGGAAAATATGGCGCTGATGGAAATAATTAATGTGCCACATGAGATTTGAGCACACAGAAGGCCCAAAGGTCATGAAGCAGGCATTCTTTATCTACTGTCTTCAGGTGATTATAAACAGGATGCGAAATTAGGGATAAACAAGTAATCATTTCCAGTATGTAATTGGAACTAAGCCTGTGAGAAACGTTGGGCTGAGGAACCCTATGTCTATCTGCTCCTCCTTTCTTTGCAGTTCAACTGTATCCAATGGGGCCACATTATTGCAAGTAGATATAGGTGGACATTATGCCCAGGATCCAGGTGAGATCAAACTGCTACATACATCAGTTTAAGTAAGGGTAATCACCAGCTTCTCAAAGGATCATCAATAAATTGATGCTTCACCAGCGCTGCCGGTATTGCAAGATGGCATTTGACAAAGGCTCTGTACAAGTAAAACATCACTTCCACACTTCCTTATTTCAGCATCCTTTAATTTAGAGTCAACATTCCAATAGGCCGTAAAATTAACTTCTGTAACTGTGCAACAGACATTAGTAGTTTTTATCCCCTATTGAGGTCTCTAATATGTGGAGTTAGTGTCTCCTCCACATCTTCTAGTCTTTCATCATTAAGAAAATATTCAATTTATTTCACAGGTTTAAAGTGGATGACCTCACTTTCCGAAATTGACCTCCATTTGCCATAGTGCAGTCTACATATTTAACCTGTTTCTGTCCTTTTGTACTGTTCTGCTTCTTCTCACACAATTTAGTGCCATTTCAAACTTGAATACATCTAAGCTTTCTATTTCTCCATTAGTATGCATACAGTGGAAAGTTGAGGCTGTAGAATTGATCACCGGAGTGCAGCACTTGAAGTTGTGAAGACCTACCCAAGCAGTGAAAGCACACTTTCAAAGATTCAGATAGTTGTGGTGACCATATATGTAAGGGCCAGTCTCGTGCTAATGATAATGATCTAAGAAGGGATTGATTGATTGAATCTGTGAATTAGTTTGTTTGAAACAGTAAAACACTTGAGTTACAAACCAGATATTATAGCAAAACAACTGATTTCTGTTTGTGCAGCTTGCGAATCCAAAGCAGACAATTGACAAGCAGAGTCACAACATTAGCACATGGCTTCCTTAAACGTCTCTTAAAAACATGGCACACATTCAACAGCCACACCTCTTTGTAGTTCTCCTCAGCTGCATTTTGGATCATTCTAAATGAGATAATTGTCTAAGAGAACTATCGTTTGACCCTTGTAGCTAATTTTTAATTGTTTGTCTGAGAGAAAGATAGTCAAGTAGTTAATGTCTGTTCTAGAAATTGTGCTTCCATTAAAGGTCACTAATTTTGATTATTGGTTAAAAATCAGTTTAAATAGCTTTAGAATTAATTAATTCATTTCTGTTCCTTTGTTTTAGGGACTAACCCTTCAGAGACTTCAGGAACTAAAATCCTGTTTCCGCCATCGGACACAATAAACAAAAAGAGATGGAGTACAGTTGTTGTCTCCTCGTCCAGGATCAGTTTGTCACTAATTATAAGCACAGCACCAAATGCTAAGATTGGTTGTCACACCTTAGCCCTGCAGAAAGTAACTGTGGATCAGACTCTTATCTATCCACTTGGGGAGTTTGTCGTACTTTTCAATCCATGGTGCTCAGGTACCGTTGCTTCTAACATTCAATTCAAATGATTTCCTGTATTTACTCAGTTAGAACCATAATACAGATTAAACAGAAGGCTATTACTTTGAGGAGATACTAATTTTTGATGCACTCTCCTTGAAGCTTTAAAGATAGTAATAGGACTTTGTGACATTTTCTTGAATGTCACTTGAATAAAAAGTTGCTTTATTCTAGATATTCTAGACTCTAGTTTGTACAAATACAATATGAAAATGTAAGAATAAGTGCTATATGTTCTCAGGAAAGTTTATTTACTGGTGCATGGAGTCTTAAATTGAACTTGTTTTGAAACTTAGATATGAAAGTCTAAAGAAATTTGAAATTTAGATTGATTTCTGATAACTTTGTGATCATGATGCCTTCTATCCACATGACACAATTGTACCTTGTACTTGGCTGATTGTCAGTACATGTATTCCAGAAGGAAATACCAGTAAAAGTGGTGTATGACACACACAGTTACGACTTATATGGAGCTTCAAAACAGAGTAGATTCTTTTCCAAGTATTATATATAAATATTTGACTCTTTTTTTAACTCAAAGATAATGATGGAATAACTATGCTTATTAACCTTGTCCAGTTTCTACTGAAGGTACTGGCTCAAAAGAGTCCATGCAATCATAATGTACAGGCAGATAAATGCTGTTCAAGAGCTTGGAGCTGGTTACCTCTAGTTGTAGCTGTAGATCAGGTGTGATACCAAAATTTAAATAAAAATTTCAAGCCTGAACTCAGGAGGTTTTAACTGACACAGTAAAGGGAGTGGAAGTGGGGCATAGTTGCTGGGTAATGCTTTGATCCTTCGAATCAAAACTTTAACTCTACTTTCTCTTCACAGATGGCTGCCAAACCTGCTGAGTTTCTGCAGCAATTTCTTCTTTGTTTCAATTCTTCAGCTTCTGCAGTTGTTTATTTTATTTTAGTATATAGCTCAGATCTTTTCTCTCCTTCAGTTTTAATGCTGGCTAGCCAGACATTTTGACCAGAACTGTATCCCTAATGTGGAAGCCAGCCCCAATAAATATTGGGTCCATCGTCTCTGTGCTGATAGAATGTTTCTAAATGCAAAGTCTTTGTTTATTACTAGCTAGAGTGACAAACCAACACAGGTAAAGTTGCAAAGGCTGCATATTACAGTTGGGGATCATGGTCACAGGGCACTTGGCCATTTAGATCATTCCTAACTTCCTTACAGTTGTCTTGCTTTTTAAGTTAAGTTAGAGGAAGATTATATCATCTCCTCCATGACGTTTACTCATGGTTTATGCTAAATTACATTAATTCACTATTCCAGAGAGTGGGACCTCATATAAAAAAAAAGACTGTCCTTACTTGTATAGAAAAGATAAATACATGGGTCCAATTCTAATCAGAGTGGGTATCACGTGATGTTTGCAATTAGTTAGCTTCTCCTTCATCCCTCACTCAAAATGTGTCTGGGCTTTAATTTTCTGCAGTGGTCAGGGTAACAGACCATTTTAGACCTCAGTAACCAATGGGACTAAAAGTATATCGTATTATGCAATGACATTTAAGGATGAGAAATAAACGGAAGACCATTGAGGAACATAAATCAGAGTCAAATCCAGTACAGAAAGAGGAATAAAGAGAAGCAAAGGAAGATTGGATAAATTTTGGGAGAAAAACGGAGAAAATAAAGTAAGAAAAACACTGTCTTGGAAACAACTGTGCTAAACTTAAATACCTACAATTACAAAAAAAAACGAGGGCAGTGAGCTGGATTGAACTGGGAAAGGAGTTTAGCAGAAAATACAATTGATGTTTAGGGTGGCACGGTGGCACAGTGGTTAGTACTGCTGCCTCACAGCACCAGGGACCCAGGTTCAATTCCACCCTCGGGCAACTGTCTGTGTGGAGTTTGCATGTTCTCCCCATGTATGTGTGCGTTTTGTCTGGGTGCTCCGGTTTCCTCCCACAGTCCAAAGATGTGCAGGTTAGGTAGATTGGCCATGGTAAATTGCCCACAGTGTTCAGGGATGCGTAGATTAGGTGGGTTACAGAAGGATGGGTCTGGGTGGGATTCTCTGTGGTTCGGTGTGGACTTATTGGGCCGAAGGGCCTGTTTCCACACTGTAGGGATTCTATGATCTATGTTCAACGGCAAATAGTTCAGGACTTGCAGCAAAGATATATCCCACTCAGGAAGATGATTTCTTGGAAATGGACAAAACAGCCATGGTCAACCAAGAAAGTTAAGGATAGTATTGAACTGAAAAAAAAAACACACACAATGTAGCAAAGATTAGTGATAAGCCAGAGGACTGTGAGAAAGAGAGAGAGGAAAAAAGGAGGGAGAAAATAAAGCATGAGGGAAAATGAGCAAATAATATCAAAATAGACTGCAAGAGCTCTTTAAACGTGTTGAAAGGAAGAAAGTAGCCACAGTGAATATAGGTCCATTAAAGAATGAGGCTTAAAAAGTAATAATGGGGAACCAGGAAATGGCAGAGGAGATGAATTGATGCTTTACATCAGTCTTCATGGTAGAGGACACTAATAGCATTCCAGTAATGCTAAATCAAGGGGAAACAGATGGGGAGGGAGTAGATACAATGACTGTCACCAGAGAAAAAAATATTAGGGAAACTAATGGGGCTGAAGGCTGATATGTCCACTGGATCTGATAGATTGCATCCTAGAATATTAGAGGAAGTTATTGCAGAGATAATGAATGCACTGGTAGTGATCATTCAAGAACCTGTAGTTTCTGGAGAAGTTCCAGAGGATTAGAGAACTGCCCATGTAAAACCCTTAATCAAGAGCAGAGAGAGAGAAAGAAAGGTAAGCATAGGCCCGTTAGCTGGTTACTTGTCATTGGGAAAATGTTATATTGCTACAAAGGATGTAATATCGGAATTTTTAGAAATACTTAATATCATGAAACAGAGTCAATGTGGCCTAATAAAGGGGAAATAATGTCTGAAAAATTTACTAGAATTCTTTGAGAAGGTAACAAGCAGAACAGATAAAGGGGAGCTAGTAGATGTAGTATATTTGCATTTCTAAAAGGCATTTCTTAAAACATCACACATAATGTTACTTAATAGGATAAGAACCTGTACTGTTGGGATGTAGTATATTAGCACGGCTAGAGGATTGTCCAACTGATAGAAGGCAAAGAGTTGGGTTAAATGTGATATTTTCAGGATCAATCCTGTAACTAGTAGAGTACAAAAAGGCTCAATGCTGATGCCACCATAAATTATAATTTAAATTATTGGGTGAATGAATTTGTTATACTATAGCCAAGTTTGCAGAGACACAAAAATATTCGGGAAGGCAGTAGTGAGAATGACACAAACACTCGAATCTTACAATACTTTCACTAAGTGTCAATTTCATCACGTTTTAAGGAATGTCTTTCTGCGTGGGACTTGGTGAGATTTCTTGCTGCGTTGTTCCAAGCCCATCTCATTAATTATCTACCATGCCTCTATGGTGCCCCTCTTGCCCAATGCTATCTGGATTCTACCATCTTGTTCTGCCTAGAAGAATTCACCTCTATGAGGATATCTGGGAATAGGCTGGTATCCCTGGCAGCTATAGCATCTTTAAAAGGCTGTTGTGTACCTGAATAAACACTGTTAGTCCAGAGCTGCCCTGCATGGCTCTGATATTTGCTTGGGGTGTGGCAAATAAAGGAGAAACTCACACCCCACTCTGTGGATAGGTACCTGGAGATGCTGATGAATGAGGAGGTGCAGACAGGATTGATCGCTTCCCTTAGGACCAGCAGAGGATGCCATGCTTACAGACACTGCCAGCTTGGTCCGAGGTTCCACCTGTGTAATTGAAATCTCAGCTGTCTGAGGAATGCCCAGCAATAAAGGAAGAAGGTCAATGACATCCTCTGTTTTATGAGTGCTACCTCAAGCTCACTCTACCTCTGTTACTGCACTCACCACCCACCAAATTCTACCGATGTTCTATCTCTCTCAGAATTACATACAATATTTACCCTCACTGTCTCTCACCCACCTCAGACCATCTGCTTTCTAATCCTAAATAGCACCTGTGCTGCCTACTCACTCACTTGAGAACACTCCCTTACCATTGTTTTCCCTACATCTTCAGCACAAACAGCTGTGCCATCCACGTTCATCTTGCTCAATCTCTCATTCTTTCTCTAAATCCAGGAGAAATGGGGCAGAAATAGGCATGGTGGGCAGTGGGCTGTCTGACATTCAGCGCCTCACCCTCTTTAAGGGGAGAATACTGACCCTGACAGCCCCACGTGACTGTGTGCAAACCTTGGAATCAATATCAGAGACTGCACTTGAATTATTGTGCCAGGATCTCCTGACTGAAGGCTGTCTTCTTGCACTTGACTAAGGACTGCTGACAACCATGACAAGTATCTTGGCCTTAAGTCTGCACACAAGAGGAAGGTAATGGCCTAATGTTAGCCCAGAGACTCATACCTCCTCCCTCACCCCCATCCCAGGCCCCAAGAAGACTTTCCACATCAAGCAGATGTTCACCTGCACATCTGCCAATTTGGTATACTGTGTCCGCTGTACCCGGTGTGGCTTCCTCTACATTGGGGAAACCAAGCGGAGGCTCGGGGACCGCTTTGCAGAGCACCTACGCTCGGTTCGCAATAAACAACTGCACCTCCCAGTCGCGAACCATTTCAACTCCCCCTCCCATTCCTCAGACGACATGTCCATCCTGGGTCTCCTGCAGTGCCACAACGATGCCACCCGAAGGTTGCAGGAACAGCAACTCATATTCCGCTTGGGAACCCTGCAGCCCAATGGTATCAATGTGGATTTCACAAGTTTCAAAATCTCCCCTCCCCCTACCGCATCCCAAAACCAGTCCAGCTCGTCCCTGCCTCCCTAACCTGTTCTTCCTGCCACCTATCCCCTCCTCCCACCTCAAGCCGCACCTCCATCTCCTACCGACCAACCTCATCCCGCCCCCTTGACCTGTCCGTCCTCCCTGGACTGACCTATCCCCTTCCTAACTCCCCACCTACACTCACCTTTACTGGCTCCATCCCCGCCTCTTCGACCTGTTTGTTTCCTCTCCACCTATCCTCTCCTCTATCCATCTTCTATCCGCCTCCCACTCTCTCCCTATTTATTTCAGAACCCCCTTCCCCTCCCCCTTTTCTGATGAAGGGTCTCGGCCCGAAACGTCAGCCTCTCTGCTCCTATGATGCTGCTTGGCCTGCTGTGTTCATCCAGCCCTGCACCTTGTTGTCTCTAATGTTCTGGGGGCCCGGGTTCAAATCCCGCCATGGCAGATGGTGGAACTTTAATTCAATAATTATCTGGAATTAAGAGTTTAATGATGACCATGAATCCATGGTTGGTTGTTGGGAAAAAAAAACCCGTCTGGTTCACTAATATCCTTTAGGGACATTGGCCTCTGGGAATTAGAGATGGGCAATAAATGCTGCCTGGCAGTGACGCCCTCATCCCATGAATGAATAAAGGAAAAGCAAAATGGCAAGACAAGGCAATGCAGAATTAAATGAGATTGGTAGCTCTGGCTGGATGTGGTGTGGAAGGGGGTAGGGTGGGGCCATTGTTAAGTTCAAAAAGGCAAGACAAGGCATAACCATGACCATCCAGGTAGACTCAAGGTTAGTGAGCATGAAGAGATCAAGCAAACAGTCTTGTGATGCAAGAGGTCTAATCCAAGAGCTGGGTGGCATCAAGCCACCAGCAAGTTATGGAGCTATGCAAGTCACACACTCACAGTGTATCTGTTAATCTCCTGATTTACATATTTGTGTGTGTGTGTGTGTGTGAGTGTGTGTGAACACATTATTTTTACAGCAAGATCTGGTCCATTGACAGTGAACAGATTTAAAAAATTTGTTCATGATATGTGGACATCGTTGTCTAGGTCAGCATTTATTGCCCATGAGAGGAAGTGAGAATGAGCTGCCTTTTTGAATTGCTTCAGTACATGGGGCAGGCACACCCATAGTACCATTAGGGAGAGACTTCTAGGAATTTGATCCTGTGACAGGGAAGAAGGGGCAATATGGGTTCAAGTCAGGAGAATGTATGACTTGAAACTGATTTTGCAGGTAGTAGTGTTATCATGTATCTGCTGCCCTTGGTCTTCTAAGTAGTGAATCTTTAAGAAGGCTATTGTATGCAAAACAACGTACACAGCCATGGTGATTTGAATTTGATTATTAGTTGACCTTCTAGAGATTACAATTTGTGTTGAATAATTATCACTGCTGTTGTGTGAATTATGTTCCAAATTCTAACATATCCAGAGATAAACACACAATCAATAGCAAAATACAAACTCTAAATGTCTTCAATGCCCCAGTTGTACTGAAATGTCAGCACACAGAAGTTTCCCTTACTGTTTGATTTCTTTTTAATTTGCATGCACATAGTCAGGGACCAAATAATTACAGGTCCCACTTCAGCATCCATCATTTATCATCGAGAATGTGGCATGATAAACATTGGAAATGATAAGTAAATGCCATGCACAGTGCACCATTATGCCCCTTGTAATTTCAACTCTGGAACTTAACCTTCAGCTTGAGAAAAGCATGACATTTAGTTTTTTTGCATGAAACATATATGAAGTAAACAATCAAGTATTTTCTTCATAGAAGCAGTGCATCCTTAAAATGATTTACTGATCTGAATATTAAAAATGACTTGCTAGCTCCTTCTATTGTTGCGCCTTAAGATGTATGATGAGCAGAAGGACTTAGCCAGCTATGAAGATCTCTGGCATTAAGGAGATCCTGTTCAAATCTTCTACAGCCCACAAGTCGTAGCTTTTGTAATTCTTGCACTTTCCTTTTCTTTTAGAGGATGAAGTCTTTATGAATGATGCTGCGCAGCTAAACGAGTATGTGCTAAATGAGCAAGGAATTATCTTCACGGGTTGCACTGAATACATTCAACATCTGCCATGGAACTTTGGACAGGTCTTTGTAAAACTGAGAACATTTGCTATTAAGTTGTCTTTAATAACAAAGCTCCAACTGTTTTTTTTCCCTTATCTCCTAGTTGCTTGCTCACCGTACTCTTTTCCGAAGAATTGTTCATGAATATTACATATCATAAAGCTAATTCTTTTAAGCAGTGTTCATGACACAAAACAATTTTTTAATCTGTTTTCTAGTTTGAAGAAGATATTTTAGACATCTGCCTTAAGTTACTAGACAATAGTCACAAACATCTGAAAAACCCAGCGAAAGATTGTGCACGCAGAAGTTCACCTGTTTACATCTGTAGAATAGTGTCTGCTATGGTAAGAACAGGACTACAAAGTTAGTAGTCTTAATGAACAACAGTGTACCATTTCAAAGCATGACCTAATAATGTATTCCAGAAGACTAAGTATGCTACTGCTGACTGCTCAAGCTTTTATGAGCTTAGATTATTTATGACAATGGACTGAAGCTTACATTTGTTGATTGAATCAGATTTGTTGAGCCTTTTGGAAGGTTTCTTACCATGATGTCTAGTGAGATTCTCATTGTATCTTACCAAACTCATCTTATTAACTACCTATTTGTCCTATGTTGCCCACCCCCCGCTGATTCTAGCCCATCACTCATCTTACTTGGCACAGTTCCACCGCGGTTCGCTACCTACTGGATATTTGCTGAAATACTGGCATCCTTGGTATAACTTTTAAAAGGCTACTGTGCTGCTAGACAATATTGGCAATCTGGCATTGCCCTCACCAGCAACATAATGGCATCACAGCCACAAAACTACGCTGCTTGTGGGACACTGTGCTGTACAGGAAATGACCTCCCACTCTACCCAACACATGATGGGCAGTGTGTCTGCACAAAACAGGACATCAGTACAGCAGTACAGGTAGTCTTTAAGCTCTGGCTGAAGTGCCAACATGCTAACAGGCATGGTATAGTGTGGCAAGACAGAGTAAGGCAAAGCATGCACGCTGCAAGCATGCAGGTACGCATCTAAACAAGTGCTAAGAGAGTAAGCATGCAGTGCTAAATTGCAGCATGGTCTAATCCGTGAGATGGGTGCCTGTCCCTGTGAACTTGCGGCAGAGTTGCCTTTCAATACTAGTTGCAATGTAGATCAGTGCAGAGAGATACCATGAGGACCATGAGTGTTTCACAAATATGAGATGTCACAGTCCTGGTGATTGGATCCTTACCTTGATACCTGGGACTTGCTTAAAAGATTGAGATAGACCTTGCTGGACTTCACATGTGATTCTGCCACATTTCATGCCATAGCCCATGGCATTCAGGCCTTAATAAGATTCTACCCAATGTGTTGAATAGCTTTACAGTCTTCTTCATTTTTTTTTCATTTGGCTATTTGTGGGTTACCTGATCGATTTCACCTCTGGAGTTCATCTTCATGTACAATGGCTGTCAATGTCACAGATTCAATTAAAAGCTTGAACCACATTGATTGTCACCTCAAGCCTTGACATTTTGCTGAAGTTATGCTGAGAGCAAGGATAGTCTTTTAATTCACTGCAAAAGACTGAAAATATTTCAGTACCAGAAAATGAGTGATGCTTTAAGTAGTTCAGTTCAACAAATGGTTGTAAATTATCACATTGACCCATTGGTGTATTTTTCTTCTCAAAATTGTCACAACTCCATAACAAAGCCAGCACAACATTTCAGTCTTAACCTTTCAGATAAATTGTAATGATGATAATGGAGTACTCTTTGGCAAATGGGATGATCCATATACTGATGGAGTGTATCCAGGGAAATGGAATGGAAGTGTTGCCATTCTTCGTCAGTGGAACCACAGTGGCTGTCAGCCGGTTTGCTATGGGCAGTGTTGGGTGTTTGCAGCTGTAGCCTGCACAGGTAGGCACAATTTGGTTTTCACGTGGAAATGACATTGAAACCAAAAAGAGTGTGCATTTAAATATTCTCTTATATATTTGAAGTATGTTTTAATCCAAATATATATGACTTTGCATAATTTCAATCTATATTTATATAGATTCTAAGTTAACAGGTTCAATTAGTCCCATATTTTATGGAACAAATCAAAACAATATTGCCATTAGAATCAATGAGCATTTCACTTAAATGCCTTTCCCTCCCTCCCTTGTGCGATTTGTTCATTTTTTTGATGAAAGTGACTCATTTTATTTAATTATATAGAACCAACAGGACAAAATGATCCATGATCCAACTATTCCTGTCTATACAGCATATCCTCCCACTCCAACAACCATTTCCCACTCTGACCTCATGTCTCTCCCCCTACATGTTTGCCTCAAATGTCTCTCAAAAGATGTCAATGCTGTTTGCTTCAAACATTCCTTGTGTCGGTCAATTCCATAAGACATTCTATGTAAATAGTATCAGCTTTCCAAGAATAAAACCTGACCGCTCTGTTTCTGAATATAAAAAACGTATTCTTAAATCATGAAAATATTACTACAAACATCATCTGAAATTACAATTTAAAATTATGGACTAAATTGAATTTTGTGAGATCCTTATGCTGTCACTGTCATGAAAATGGAATAACGTTCAAAATAAATTAATCACTTTTCCTTTCTTTAGTTCTGAGGTGCTTAGGAATTCCAACCCGTGTTGTTACAAACTTTGAATCTGCTCATGACACCAATGGAAACTTAATCATTGAGAGTGAGTATGATGAAGAAGGAATGGAACTGGGCAAATCAGAAGATAGTATATGGTGAGTTAAAACTGTAACTGTACTGTGCCTTTAAAATGTTGTGATTCTAAAGTATCAACCCATGTTAAGATATTTTTGCCTGTTGAAAAATTCATCCAAACTGAAATTGTTACTGGCAAGAAAATCATTAATCAGGCTTCCAATTATTTAACAAATACAATATGTACCTTTTGCTCAATAGGTTTATTTTTTTCCGTAGAAATTTGAGTACTCTGACTGAAGAGTCCTATATGTTGTTGTATTTCAGGAATTTCCATGTTTGGGTAGAATCTTGGATGGCAAGATACGATTTGAGAACTGGTAATGATGGATGGCAGGCACTTGACCCAACGCCACAGGAGAAAAGTGAAGGTCCAGATACAAATAAACAAATGATGATTACAGTCTTAATTGCATAATAAAGAAAAAAAATGCTGGCATAATGGTTATAGTAAAGCCATTGTCACTGTTGAAAAATAATACTATTTCGTTCACTAATATCTTTTAGGAAAGAAATCTGCCATCCTTACCTAATCTGGATTACATGTAACTCCAGACCCACAACAATGTGGTTCACTCTTAATTGCTCTCTGAACTGGCCTATCCAGCCACTCAGTTGTATCATACAGTTAAAAAGCCAAAACACACATTGAAAATAAATACCGATAGTCAGATAACGGACAACAGTTGAATAAATGGGGTGTAATTTTAACTTTAGGAGTGTGAGACAGAAGGTTGCTGACTGTTGTCAATTATTTTTTGTTCATCCACGGGATGAGGGTATTGCTGGCTAGACCATCATTTTATTGCCCATCTCTAATTGCCCAGAGGGCAATAGAGAGTCAAACACATTGCTGTGGGTCTGGAGTCACATGTAGGCCAGAACAGGTAAGGATGACAGTTTCTTTCCCTAAAAAACTTTAGTGAACCAAATCGGTTTTTCTGACAATCGGCAATGGTTTTATTGTCACCACTATAGTCTTGGTTCCAGATTGATTTTTCATTGAATTCGAATTTCATCATCTGCCATGGTAGATTTGAACCCCGGTCCCCAGAACATTACCTGGGTATCTGGATTAAGAGGCCATTGTCTCCCTTAATTATTGTTTAGATTCCATACAACCTAAGAATGATTTACTTTACACTGTCATGACATGACACCTCAGTGCAAAGTTATATTCACTCTATTAATTTCTGTATGGTTTAGAGTAACAGCAGTTTACAGATAAAATGTAACATTGAAATAAACCAACACCACTCTCCAAATTACAGTAACAAATATTCAGGATCATTTTTGTTTACCAGGAGTATTCTGCTGTGGGCCAGCCCCAGTGAAAGCCATCAAAGAGGGGGAGACAGACATATGCTACGATGTTCCTTTCATATTTGCTGAAGTCAATGCAGATTGTGAGACTTGGGTCTATTCTAAAAAGGGGAAAAAGATGAAAATTGACTCTAATACAAGACTTGTTGGCCAGTACATCAGCACCAAGTGTGTTGGCAGCGATGACCGTGAGGATATCACAGAAAATTACAAATACCCTGAAGGTAATAAAATAAAGCCTGTTGTTAGAATAAATGAAGCAAATAGCTGCTTTGTTGAAGTCAACACTTGTTATTATACGTATTAAATTGTAGGATCGACTCAATAACTGAAAAACCATGCTCACATGCCTCACTGATTGTGCATGGCACTTTGAAGTGTGGGGAAATCCTAAGGCTGTCAATTGAATTTAAAACATTGTGGTGGAATTTTCATTGCAATATAATTGATGCAAATTAGGTAGGAGTCACTGCAATAATTCTTGGCTAAAGCCCTTCATTGATCAGAAATGTTACAAAGTATACATGAGGAAAAAAAGAAACCTATAATTACACATTGATCTTTCCCCCATCACCCCTCACCACCAAGCCCTTCCCTACCATGACTGTATCTTACATTTCATGGAGCAACTTGTGACTTTGCTTCACTAGTTTATTCAAAGACAATTTCTGGTTTCTGGCATTTTGTGAAGATATACCTCTTAATTGCTCGGAACATATCTTTTACCAGTCTGCATATTTGTACTTTTTTTCAGTAATCATAGTTTAACTTAAAATGGTTTCAGAATTAATCCTTTGTGCTCCCGACATAAGTGTCTTTTACACTTAGGTTTCAAAACTGTATTGAAGAACATAAATTTTATGAACCTATCTTCATTATTAATTTCTCTGACATGTTCGATCAACCTTGTTATCTTCTCTGAAAAGCTTCCAGGGCTTGAACAGTCATTTTGTTTCTTGGTGACCAGAACTGAATGCATTATTCAATGTTCAGTATATTCAGAGTATTCTACATATTTAAGGATGATTATCTCGAAGATGGACTATATTGGTATTCTAGCTCAGTATTTTGTTTGCTTTGTAACTTGATAAAACTTACTTTCAGTAGCAGATATGTTTCAGCCTCTCTTCCATCTAGTTCAATCCTCATCATTATATAAGTTCTGGCAGAGCAAAATGTTTGTGGTTGAATCAATCTCTTTATTACAGCAGTTATTCTTTAAATGCAGGATTTCTAATTTATTTTCATTAAAACTTTGACAAAATCAAACCACCTCATTCTAGAAAGAGCTATATACAGTTGCCCATGTGGACTAGGAGTATATATAGATTGTGTCAAAAATCTGATCTTATCTTATTAATAATTACAGGAATTGAAATCTAATTAGTATCTGTTTCATCCTGAATTGAAAAGACACTTTTTAGATATGATTGGATCAATATTAATCAAGGATAAATGATATCTTCCATGATAATTTTTTGGTTAGGATTCAAGTTTCATAGTAACATTGTATTTGTTTTTTCCTTCAGTCTAGGTTTTGGGTAGTGGCCTACTCATTGGAGTTAGACAGTTGTTATGAACCCAGCTGATTGGTTCTACTGGACAATTCTGAGTGAGACCTGGCTTGATAAAACATGTGTTTTTTTTTCTCTTTGCTTACATGGAGGTTATTCACTGAACCTAGTCACAAAAGGCTGCCATGCATTTTTAAGAAAAGCACATTACAGTTTATTATGCAAATGAAAACATGAACAAAGTTATTTCATGCAAGATTTAGAATAATCTCTTTACTAATATCAGGAAGAAAAATTCAACCCAACAATTGGTATACAAACACCCAAATCTCAGTGAAGGGCCATCTTTGTCTCTGTGTCTTTATTAGTCGAGGCATTGAGTTTAAGAGCAGGAAGGTTATTTTGTAACTGTATAAAACATTGGTCAGGCTGCACTCTAGAGTATTGTGTACAATTCTGCAATCTACATTACAGGAGGGATGTAACTGCACCAGAAAGAGTGCAAAGGAGATTTACCAGGATGTTATTGAAAGCAACAAATGCTAGAGATGACAGCAGGTCAGACAGCATCCATGGAGAGAGAGCAAGCTACTGTTTCGAGTTTGCGTTTCGTTTGCTGACAACACAAAACTGGATGGGAATGTGAGTTGTGAAGAGGGTGCAGAGAAGCTTCAAGGTGATTTAGACAAGTCAAGTGAGTGGACAAAAATATGGCAGATGCAGTACTAAATATGAAGTTATACACTTTGGTGTAAAAAAACAGAAAGGAAGGGTATTGTTTAAATGGTGACATATTGGAATGTGGATGAAGGGATCTAGGTGTACTTGTACACCAGTCAAGGAAAATAGTCAGGCAGGTGCAGTGAGCAGTTTGGAAGGCAAATGGTGTATTGGCCTTCGTTGCAACAGGATTTGAGCTGAGAAGTGAGGAATCATAGAATCCCTACAGAGTGAAATCAGGCCATTCAGCCCACTGAGTCCAGATCAACCCTCCAAAGAGCATCCCACCCAGACCCACCCTATCTGGGTAACCCTGCATTTGCCATGGCTAATCCACCTAGCCTGCACATCATTGCGACTGTGAATGGAAACCAGAGCACCCAGAGGAAACCCCTGCAGACGCAGGGAGAATGTGCAAATTCCACACAGACAGTTGCCTGAGGGTGGAATCAAACCTGGGTCCCTGGTGCTGTGAGGTAGCAGTGCTAATCATTGGTACACTGTGCCACCCTTGCTAGCCAGTGAGACACTGTGCCATTTTATTAGTTATAAAGGGTCTTGGTGAGAATACATCCGTAGTATTGTATCAGAGATAGTAAGAACTGCCGATGCTGGAGTCAGAGATAACACAGTGTGGAGCTGGAGGAACACAGCAGGCCAGGTAACATCAGAGGAGCAGGAAAGCTGATGTCAGCTGGCCTGCTGTGTTCCTCCAGCTCCACACTGTAGTTTGTATGCTGTTTTGGAGTCTCTACCTAATGATATACTTTCTATAAAGGGAGTGCAGCAGAGATTCACAGGGATGACAGGACTGCTGTATGAGGGGAGATTGGTTAGATTAGCCAGTACTCATTAGACATTAATATTTTGAGAGGGAATCTGAATGAAACATATAAAATCCTAACAGGGCTGGACTGACTAGATGCCAGGTGGTTACTTTCTTTGGTTGGGGAATCTAGAACCACGTGACACAGTCTCAGGATCCAGGATAGATCATTTCGGACTGAGATAAGCAATGATTTCTTTACTCAAAGAGTAGTGAACCAATGGAATTCTCCATCACAGAAGATTGTGGTGGCTAATTCACTGAACGTATTCAAGATCTGGTTAGATTTTTAGAGTTTAAAGGCATCAGCATTTATGGGAGAAAGTTGGAGTATGGCATTGAGATAGAGGATTAACCATGAACATATTGAATAGTGGAGCAGGCTAAAAGGGCCGCAAGGACTATTCGTACACCTAGTTTCTATATTTCTCTGTTTGATGCTCCTTTACCTAAAGTCACATGATTTCTTAGAAATTATGTTTTTTTTAACTTACTATTCAAAATGACTTTCTGACTTGGTTAAAATAAGAACAACCCAGACCTTCAGACAACAGAAAACTAAAATGAGATAACAAAGTGTGGAGCTGGATGAACACAGC